CATTCGTGTGATTCTTTTGATGTTATGGCTAGAGAGCTGGAAGACAGAGCAATCGTGCACGGATCTGATCCAATGCTTGTTAGCCTTGGTCGAAGAATTTATTCTTTAGGCTAGTCTTGCTAATACGATTTCTTAGGTGCTCTTGTTGAACAACTTCTCTAAGTTTTTAGAGGATATGAGAAAGCTAACGATGCAACACCGTTCGTTTTCGGCTGAGGACACATCTTGTGACAAAGAGAACGAGGTGAGAAAACTTCTTGCTTTGCATGTTCTGTTTGGTGTATTTGACGACTATAGAAAAGTCACTTTAGTTTGTTCGACCTATAGAAAGAGATGCTTCACAAAAGGAGATCGATAATAGAAATTCTACAGAAAGGAACGTTGTTGACTTTTCGGTCAACGGCGCCTCTAGTGACACAAATAGCTGCGAGGATACGGACATAACTGAGGACACGCTCATACCTGAGGTGATAACCTACTTACTTTTTAAAAAACGTGCAGCTCATAACGTATCAAACGTATTAAATCTGACAATTTCTAGAAGGAGAACAAGGAAGAAGCAAATCCATTAGCGGCAATGGCCACACGAGAGGAAGAAATTCGGCGAATTGAAGAAGCTGCATATAATTTAACAGACAGTGTGGAAATGCCTCGCGCTTCTGAACCAGCTGTGACGCTTGCTGACGAAGAAAGCTGTGAGTCATTTCATTTTGTTATGCAGCACTAATTGAATTCTTTTTGGTTATTTTTATGTTCATCTCTTGCATTTTTTACTAGATATACATTTACATCAACGTTATGTAGTGAACACAGATAACGGTATTCTTTTCGTACTCTTTGAATAGAAACAGTCAGTTGATAGTATCTATAGTTTTCCCTCCGCTTATTTTACCTACGCATCGTCGGCATCCTATCGTTATACTTTCGTGAGCCCTTAACCACATAAGTAAAGTTAACGCCTTTGTATCTTCCTCCGACAGAGCAATTGCGCAGTTCTTGTCATCTGTTGTTTTACCTCTTTTCCAGCGCTTCCAACTCAGCCGAGTTCACTCATCTAATCAATTTTTACTGTAGTGCACGATGCAGTGCTATAAAA